TATGTGGTCCTTCAGGACCAAGGAGCATGACCTGCCTCTCGCCACCCTCTCCCCTCCATGCCAGCTGGGATTCAGCTTCAGCCTGGGTGGCCAGAAGGGGCAGAGTTTTCCTCTGGGTCTTGGAAGCTGCCCCAGGTGGTACACCCAGCCACCCAGCCTACACAGAAGACCTCAGAGGAAATGGAGGAGCCAAACGTTCACTAAACGGGCTTTGGTGAAAGGAGCCAAGACAAAACCCAGCTCTGAGCTTAATTAGAAAGAGTGCTTAATCCCTCCCCCAACAAATGCAGATTGCCCACAAAGGAGAACAGGAACCCAGTGGCCAGGAAGACCCGCAGCCTTATAAAGAAGCACTTTGGGCTGTGTAGGGCAGCTCCGCTATGATCTGATACAATGACTATTGTCAAGGAGGGTTGTTTTTCCATGTTTTTGTATCCTTTTCTTCACATTTTCTTTTGCTACCTAATTTCATGCATCAGAGGTCAAAAGACAAAAGGTCAGGCCTGGTTTAGAGACAGCAAACTCCCCACCACCAAGAACGTGTGTCCAAAACAGCACTTTGAGGCACCGCCTGCAGACACCGGCAAGTTTTCATCCCTGATTCTCTTTTGTCACTTCATGGGGTACATGAGTCTACGTGCAAACTGCATGAGAAATGAGACACCAACTGCTGTACCAAATTAGGAAAAAATTAACTAAACTGTTTCTATCTCATACCTTGTTTATAAGAATTTGTACCTAACAAGGAAAAGCCCATCTTGGAACTCTCAGCCTGCCTATGGTAGAGAACTTTACACACACACACACACACACACACACACATATGCATATGTATGTAAATATGTACATACATAAAATATATATACATATACACACATATATCCTATAAAAATAAAATCTGAGTACATATTTCTTAAATGTTTTGCTGGGAGGATTTATAAAGATCTGTCCAGAAAATTACCAATACTTGTTCTAAAAATTGTTTTAGTTGAAAGGATAGCAGCATTTCAGTATGAATAATTTAGCATGATTATTTTGGTATGTATTTAGTATGACTATTTTGTCCTCAGACTGCTAATGTTTTCAATTTCTCATTTTGGATTCTTAGGTAATAGTAGATTGCCGGAGTTTCCTTATGTGATAGGTCCACACAATGTGTTTATAACGAGGATACAATGTCATGATTTCCCATTAGAAATATTTTCATGATTTAGGGGGAAAATGACTTTCTGATTCTATGTTCATAAGCTCCTTATATTAGATATTTCAAATGGTTTTCATCTGACTGAAAATAAATTAGGGGATATCTTTAATTTTTCTTTGTGTAGAGGATTTTTTTTTTTTTTTTTTTTTGTAGATTTGCATTCAGTGCCAGAAGGCTCCCACCCCCAGTACAAAGTGAAGGAAAAGTTAAGGCTTTGGAAGTGTCTCTGGTGATGGCTAAACACTGAGACTGGCTTCAGAGCTCATCTCAAAGGTGCTTTGGCCCAAGCATGGCTCATCTTTTCCATCTTACTCTGGGCTGGGTTGCTAAAGATAGCGAATCAGCAGCAAATCTGAAAGATTTTTAGAGCACAATTTTATTTCCGGCACATTCTCAAATCCAGACTTCATATCCTGTAGTCCTCTGACCTTCCCAAAAGACTTTCCTCCCAAAAGAAAAAATAGAAATCAGCCCACAACCTGCCCTGGGGCTGAGGTATTCACTTGGCGATTTGCAGGTTCACATGGCAGGCTCCAGGGAAAGCACCCCAATCCTGGGGTGATCCTCTCCCACAGCTCTGAAGTTACTACAGAAAAATGGAGAATGAAGTAAGCGAGAATATTAAAGGGCCTACCTAAAGGCGCGCCTCACTTCCGTTTAACACTCTGATCTGCGTCCAAAACTAAAAGAATCGTTTAGCTTGTGCGCTCACCCTCACTCAAAATCGCTTGTGAAGTAGGCTCTTTTATGTTCCAATACTTCATGGAATCAAATTATATCACATTAAAATGTTATTAGTTTAAAACACATTAAATAAATGCAAGTCTGGGCCGACGCATGAATATTTAAAGCTCACATTACACGGTGAAATAGAAGAAAAGGGGGTGAGGAGAGCTAACAGAACATCGTATAAGTACTGATAGAAATAAAACATCCTATGTGCAAACTTTCTTTAGCAAAATATGGTTTTATTACTTACACTTATTATGGTATTGTTAAATTTGAAAATAAACATAAAGAGAAATGAACTGATTTACACTTGTTTTCAATGTTAAACAACCAGAATGCCAGTAAATCTTTTCAATGCCCTATTTTGGATTCTTAGGTGAGAGTGGATTGCTGGGACGTGTTGGCAAATTTTAAATACAACTGATTGCCTGTTTTCCATATTCATATATTGCGAATGTAACTCCAGGAGAGTGAATTTTATCTCAAAATTCTCCAAGAGTTGCCTTCAAATAGCGTCTCTGTGCATATGCATACGGCATACACTTGACGTCTGCCATGTGTACCTGTGCGCTGGAAACCAGTCGTGGAACTGAATTGAATTACTGGATTTGAGTTGAAATGAACCCATCCAAACGACCCAGGTCTGCGCTCTTTGAGGCTTCTCTCAGTAACATTTCTAATGAAAGCAAGAAAAGCGGTAAAGTAAAACAACAACAGCAACAACCCACCATGAGCCCCAGGTTACCCGAACACAGACCCATCGCGTATTCTAGCGCAACACAAGTATCTCCGGGTGGCGAGTCGCTGGCACATGGTGCCCCAGGAAGCCAGCACCCGGAGCTGGAAGCCCTGTATACGCAGAGGACCCCACTGCCAGCTGAAATGGGTGTTTTGACCCAAACCAATCCTCAGCTCCTTTCTGCCGCGGGCGCCGCCTGAAACCCCAAGGCGGCTGCTGGCCCGCGAAGTGCGCTTTTTGCGTTCTGCGCTGGGGAAGTTGCAGTTGGAGAGGCGCCCCCATCCATCCCGGCACCGCCCCTAGGCAAGACCCAAGTTTATACCGCAAGGGACCAACTCGCCGCGACTCGGCGTCCACCCTCAATGCTGACACCGTTCAGGCCCGGCAAACGAAGCAGGGCGGGGCTGGGCATTGGGGGCGCCGCCTGCCGAAGATGCGGTACCACGTGCGCGCTGTGCGGACCCCGAATCCTGTGAGTCCAGCTCCGGCCACAGGCTCTCGAAGAACTGGGCCCTTAGCTTTAGGGCGGGGCCTCTTCTTTGCCTCCTGCCTGGATGTCGGCTCCCACTCATGCTCTGCGCGAGCTCCGGAGCCGAGCCCCAGTGCCAGAGTCTTTCCCTGCGGCTTCTCCCAGGACTCGCACAGAGGGAGGCCCAGCGGCGGACTGCGATGGCCCAGCCTTTGCTAGATTCCGGGCTAGGCGTCTAGGGAAGAGGGGCACCGGGCCGGAACTGAGCTCCAGTTCGGGCTCCACAAGCCCTGGAGCCCCCCACGATGTTTCCTGGCTGAGTTAAAGAGCCCGACCTTGGCCCCTCGCCTGGCAACGTCGGCCTCCCCCTCCCTTGCCCTCAGCGTCTTAGCTGGAGGGAAGCTCGCAGCGTGCCTAGGCCAACCCCTTCTGCGTCTCTTTTCTTTTCCTGTCACTCTCTGTTTTCGGTTTCTGCTTTCTCCTTCTCACAGAATGCCAGAGCAAGCAGGGGCCTGGAGGAGCCTCCGCACCAGCCCCTTTTCGGGGCCTCCAATCTGCCTTCCCCACAGTCTAGTCTCCCCGTTCCATATTTCTTTCTGTATAGACTCTGCTTGTATTTCCTCGCCAATTGAGCCAGTATGTGTCTCTGCTTCTAAATTTGCCTCTCCTCTTGTCCCTCGCGTAACATTAAACAAACCAAGGTGTATTGAGCTGGAGAAGTCCTAGCAACGTGGACAGAAGGAATGGCTTATTCTGTCCTCGGAACATTTCCGGTCACTACAGTTCGGTTTCCCCTTGAGGCGGCGCCAGCGCCGGTTCCGCCCCACAGGCCACTGCTACTGAGGCGCCCGCTCGCTGTCTCGCTCTCTGGCGGTGTCTGCGTGTGTTCGGGTGTGGGCACATGTATCTGTGCTTGCAAACCAGGGCGGGCTCTCCAAACCGAAAGCTGCGCGGAGTTGGGTTTCTGGGATTCTAGGGCTGCGGTCAAGGGAGATGGGGGATTTTCCCGGGATCCCGACGCCCATCTGAGCCTAGACTCCCCGCGTTCCGGCCCCTTGTCCCGTATCTCTAGGGCCACAGCGTCAATTCCGTGTCCTCCGAAGTGGTTCGTCACCTGCTCCGCTGCAGGGACCCGCCCCTTGGGCCAACGCTGCGGGAGTCCGGACGGTCCGAAGCACGTTGTCCAGGCGCAAGGGGAGACCGACTCACAGGGGACGGGGTGGGCAAGGGGACGGCGGCTGGGCCACGGTACCCCGCGAGGGGGGCTCTGTGATTCTGACCCAGCACCGGCGCCTCCGGGCCCGCGAGGTTTTGACGACCAGCGGGCGCCCCCTCGGGAACCACTTTTGTTTCCCTCTGGTCTCGAGCGTCCAGAGCCCGATGCGGCGGAGCACGGCGAACCCACGATTCGTGATGCTTGGCCTGATCCTCTGCCCTTCATGGGTGTGGGCAGGAACGGAGTAGTGGCTGATGTCCCCTCCCTAATCCCAAAGCCCCACAAAAGCCAAAATACACATGCAAACTCTCACCAAAGCATCTCACAAACACAAAAACTAAAGCCAACACATGAAAACATAACCCCAGCCCCCATCAAAACGTACAGCTCAAAAAAATAAAATCCAAATCGAGGGAAACAAAGCACACACCACACGAAATTCCCTAAGGCAACACACACACAAACGACACCCACTCACACCAAATCAAAACACATCTAAACACCGCGGAGAAGGAAAAGCCTTACAAACGACACACAAAAAGACAGCCTGCAAGGACAAAGGACAAAATCACACAAAATCAAAACTCATCCCCAAGACCGGGACTTACAGAGCAAAACCCGCTAAAATCAATCCCACGAAAAAACAACACGCAAAACACCCGAAACAAAAGAATCTCCCATGGATAAATGAAAACTCACAGAAAACAAACAAAAACAAAACAAACCCTCTACATGGAAACAACAACAACAACAACAACAACAAAACACCAACACCCCCGCCCCCAGCCCGGGGTGAAATGTCAATTCCGGGAGGGCTTTTGATCTCCAGGCGCGGACAGGCCGCACCTCCCAGGCGCTGCCTCCCGGCGTGGGCTGGGGCTAGGCTGCGGAGGGAATGAGTCGAGCGCTCGGAGATGGCCAAAAATCAAATTGCGGGGTAGGGACACGGGCCGGCAGGCTGCAGAGTGGAGGCGGCGCTGGGGAACTGCGCAGACCACTTGGTGGGGGGGCCGCCCGGGAATCCACAGCCACATTTCCGATTGTGGCGAAATCTGTTCAGTGGATATGTGATGTCCAGTTGCCGCCGGGGGCCCCCCTTTCCTCGAGCTCTAGGCTCTTCCCCCTAGGTTGCGACCCAGCCTCGTGACCACCCCCTCCAAAAAACAAACAACACTCTTGCTGAGGACGATTCACTCTCCAAAACTGCCATTGTCCGGCGGGCCGAGAGTCCTCCTACGGAGCGCTCCCCCGCCCTGGAGAACCTTTTCCCTGCGACCACCCCGCTGCAGGGCCCCACAGGCTTCCAGTGGCCAGGTCCAGCAGCTGAACTAACTCGAGGCTGGGGAGGGTAACAGGGAGGGGAGGCTTGAGCCTGGGCCGAAGAGAGAGGGCTGGACATGCCACACCTCTGCCCGGTCTCTCTGGATCTGATTTCCTCTCTGGAATCAAGTCCTGGGGCTCTGGGACTCCACAACGTCTCAGGGCTCCGAGGCAATGCGATTCCATTTATGGGCAGGGTTAAGGTGTCTGGAACTCCCGCCAATCTCCAGGAGCTACTGAGATGTTCTGCTCTGCCCGGGTGCTCCAAAGCGGAAGCCCGGATTTCATCTCCAGCATTTCACAGCTTAACCTCCATGCTCTGGGCCAGAATGGAACTTGATGTGGGGAGGGGTTCTGGGACCAGGAGACTGGATGGGACCTGGGGGCTTTAGGGATCTGGCGCTGCCCTAGGGTCAGGGGCCCAGCGATAGACAGGGCCCCAGCAAATTGGGGTGGGGGGTGGATGGCTGGGAACCCTGGGGTCGGGCGCCGCCCTAGGGGTGAATCTGAGTAAACCGGAACGTCCCCTCTGTGCCTGGCAACACTGCCAGCCTTTGCAACCCCTTTCAAAAGCACCTGCGTGGCCGAGCAGTTAATTTCTTTAAAAACAAAAACCCGGCCTGCGCCCGTCTAAGCAGCGGGATTTGCACATGGAGATGTCACAGGCCCCGCGCACAGCGCAGAGGGCCGCGACCCCCAAGCGAAGGGCTTAATAGAGGGTGCGGCTGCGAGACCCGGGCTCCCGGGCTCGGCTTCGGTCTGCCCCTTCCCGTAGGTGCGCTGGCTAGCGCCCGGCGCAGTCTGAAGCCTTCCTTCCCTCCCCCCCATCCCCTATAAAAGTCTAGGGCGCCGCGGCAGCAGCACTGCTGCTCTCCCGGCTTCCCGCTCTACTCCGGCCCGGCCCGGTCCGCCACGTCTGGCGCGCTGAGCAGGCCCGGCAGCGCAGCGCCTACCCTTTCCTCGCTCCGGGCCGGCAGTGCGGGGCGGCGCGCTGGGGGCGCGGCGTGTCTGGGGACATCTTGTGATGTTGGCGAGAACAGGACATGATCTCACATGGCGAGAAGCTCTTTAGTTCCTTAATCATTTCACGGTGCCTTCGGACGCTTTTTTTCCACCTAAAACGTTTAGTTTCAGCTCAGTGATCAGCTACCCCAGCTCCGCGGGGGAGCGGAAGGCTTGAATTATTCCGACCTGTGAGCGGCCCCTGACACCAAAAAGAAAAAAAAAAAGAAAAAAAAAGGCACAAAAAAGTGGAAACTTTTTTCCCTGTCCATTCCATCAAGTCCTGAAAAATCAAAATGGATTTAGAGAAAAATTATCCGACTCCTCGGACCAGCAGGACAGGTAGGACCGCGATGCGGGCTCCAGACGTGCAAACTCCGGGACACAGCCAGGCCCTGGTCCCCACGCAGGGTGACCCTGGAGGAGGAGGGGGTGCCCGCATTTTCGTAGAGACTGTCTATCTAACTGCGGCCTGTTACGTTTTTCACCTATCTGTTCACACACTTCTGCATCAGTCCAAGTATCTGTGAGTTTGTTTGTGTTTTTCTGTTTCTGAATGTTTATGCTGGTGTCCTTCCGGGGGTCTGCAAGTTAGGGCCTGTGTGTTTATATAAGGGGCTCAGTGTGTGCCTGACTGACAATAAGTTTGTGTGTCCCTGTATATGTATTTTTAAAAGATATAAAAATATATGAGTTTGTGTCCAACAGTTTGTTTGCCTGTGTGTGTGTGTGTATCTTTATACCTGTGAGGTATTCGTATGTGTTTATAAGTTAGTATTTGTGTGTATATTCTTCTAGGTATCCAAAATGTGTGTCTACTATGAGTGTTATTTATGTAATTGGGAAATATCTGAGTGTACATCCACTATTTTAAGGGTCTGCGTTCACCTGTTATATCCCAAGTGATTTTGGAAGTGAGAAAGAGGTGGCTACACTGACCTTTCCATTTTTGGATGTCAACAGCTGTCCAATGCATACATGCCAATGTTCACATTGTGTCTCTAGGCAAACTCTTAGACGTGGGTCTGGGGCCTATGGAGACCCATGGTGTTTAGCATGTGCATAGTAAGGCCCAGTTTCCATTCTATTGGGAGACAGAACCAGGAATGAAGGTGTGAATTCGGGGCATGTGCCTCTTGGTGTGTAGTGGGCACTGTTGAGGCTACCATTTCTACAAACAAGTCTCCTGTGGTAGGCACAACCTTGAAGATGAGAGCGGACACCTGTGGCGTTAGTTGTGACATTTTAGGGACCCCCAGCCTCCCTTCACTTTCACCTAGGCAAGCCTCTGACACTGGCCTTGTACACACACACATACACACACTGTGTCCTCAGGTTTTATCCTGTGGGTGCCGCTCCAGTGGAGCACAGTGGGTGGGTGTATGTGCATAGTCTGGGCATTCAGCTCTGGTGCCTGTGTGCACACAGGCCTCTCTGGCATAGGTCCCCATGTGCCTCGCACAGGCCTGAGAAGTAGGTAGCAGGATGTGTTTATGTCTGAGAGGAGGTATCAGAGACAGTAGGCCTCCATCTGCCCTGAGGCATGAGTCAGGTATGGGGGCCCTCTTTCACTCACTAGGCCACTGTGAAACTCCCACACAAACACACTCCTGGCCCTGGCAAGAAGTCCTTCCCCCATCCCTGTGCCCTCTGAGAACCCCCACCTCTACTCCAGCCTCAAATACAAGCCTAAGAGCAAAAAGGATAAACTTAGACCCCAAGCCCAGGACAACTCCTGGGGCATAAATGTATTTCCAAAATCTGAAGAGAAGTGAGGGCAGAGATCTGAGGCAGAAGAGTGTTTCCGGGATGAGGGCTCAGGAAAAGGTACCTGGAAACCTCTCTGCTCCATCCTCAATTCTCAGAAGGCCCTTCTTCCTGCGTTTCTCAGCAGGTGGGCTTTCAGAGAGACCTGAGCCTGGAAGTGGGCGTTGTGTATTTGTTGGGAATGAACCGGGGATGTGTGAGTGTTGTGGAGAGGGTCTCTGCAGTCCTCGGGCTGGCTCTCCCCACAAGCTGTCTAGAAGAATGTAATTCATGACGGTCGATGGGCTCTTTGATTAGTTCAATCGCCTGAATAATCGTTTAATCAATAAAGCATTTCATTCCTCAGCACAGTTGGACTGGGTGGGGCTTGGGGTGGGGTGAGATAGGGGAGCCCTAGGCTGGCCAGGGTTTAAAATCTAGCGAGCCACGCCCCCTCCTCACTGATGGGTTGGGGAAGAGCTGCCTGCCTGGAAAAGGGCGACAGTTCAAGTGAGACTGCACTTCCACCTGTCCACTCCAGCCTGGGTCAGGGCTGGAGAAGAGAGGGAAGCTGAAAAGCTGTCCAAGCTGGTGCTCAAAGGGGTGTCCAGGTCTGGTTCCTATGAGAGCTTCTTCCTTCTCCCAACTTCTAGGTATTTCATGGGCCGATAGACTTCCTTTTTCTTCCTTCAGAACCATATTCCATTTCTTACCCCAACCTCAGTTTCCCTATCTGCCCAATGGGGAGGGAGTGTGTCCTTCTGGCTCTAAGCCCATGATAAGGTCAGGTCAACACTAAGCAGGGAGCCACTTAAGGACCTTCTCCTCTAATGTCTTCCTTGCTGTAGGGAAAGAAAACAGAGGTTCAGAGAGGGGCAAGGACTTGTAGGAGATCATAAAGCATGAGTAATGGAGGGAATAGGAATGGAAGGTGACCTCTCTGCCCTTAGACCTCCTGTTCCTGCTGGGAGAAGAGACAGATTCCCCCCTCTCTCCATGGACTCCCTTGGAGAAAAACTACTATTGGGCAAGTAGTAGTCTCTCCTTGCCATGGGAGCCCTTGAGTCCTTAGGCCCAGGCAGGTCTGGATGGGTTGAATACTTTCCCACTAGACATTGGCATCAAGTCTCACAGTTCTGGAATGAGCCTGGGATGGAGTGATAGATAGTAACAAACCCCTATCCATGAAGCTTCATCTCACAGAGCCTAAGAAGTCACATCTCAGGGTTTGTTCTCTGTATTAAATAAACGGGGAAGCAGAGACTTTAGAAGGGGCTGCCTGTCTCAAGTCTTTGGGAGACAGAGTTAGTCCCAGTGCCCCTGGCCTGCAGAATATGCTGGTAATGATAACACACCCTGACTAAGGCAGTTTTACACGATTCTTGAAAAACCTGGTTAAATTCTCATTTTTTCTCCATCCTCTTCAAGAACTCCTGAAAACAGAGCCAGGTCAAGTAGAGCAGACTCCTGATCCAGGGGCAGGAATCATGCAGGAATCTGCCGTGCCTTGACTTTCTGTATAATTTCAGGTCAATTTCGTTCCCTCTGACACTTAATTTTTTTATTTTTTAAAAATGAAGTTTAGAGAGAACTCAATGGGTTGAGACAGCCATGCAGGCAGCATCCCTGATCTTTCCAGAACTGAGCAACCAGTCTGAGCCCTATTGGGCCCCACTTTGTCAGAAGCAAGAACAGGGAAATGGGCTGGCCTTGGGTTGAGGGAGTCGATGTCAGGCTAATAGATTACTGTTAGCAGCCCCCACATCCTGAAGCGGGGGAATGCAGTGCGCTGGGAGGCGTGGAAGGGAAAGCCGGGAGGGGGTGTGTCCCCAGTGAAGCGAGGTCTTTGGCTTCTCAAACATTATTCTCAATGGGCTGTCTTTCAGTACTAAAACTTTCAAAGGCAATTTGGTTTACATAAATGAGTTTCTTCCTGGATAGTTTCCTTTCGCGGTCTCCTGTCCCCAGCGCCTAGCACAGGGCCCGGCCCAAAGCTCTGCTACTGGGAGAAAGAAAGTGCATCACTGTAGATCACAGAGAAGCCCGACTACGTTGAGAGCCGCAGTGAGACCAGCCCCGCGCTAGTCTCTTTCTCCTGGACCAAGGCTGCGGCTCGTGGGCGTTCAGAGACAGGACTGAGACGCAGTAGCCCGGCTCCACCGTGGACTTGCTGTGCAGCCTCAAGCTAGTCACGTAACCTCTCTGAGCTGTCGTTTGGTGACCTGTAAGGCTGGGCTAGGTGATCACGGTATCAGGTCTGGTCGCGCCTTTGGGGTTGGAACTTCCCAGAGGCGGCCCGCTTGGGCGGTGATGAATCACCTCCACCCAGGGGGAAACTCCTTCCCCCAAGAACGCCGCGAGGTGCGGGAGGGGGCTGCTCTGGGTGCACAGGTAAGGCGGGTCCTGTGTGTGCCACGCAGCAGAACACTGTCCCGAAGCCAGACGCCTACTATGTGAAACGGGGAATCGGCGCCACTCCTGCTCGGGCCGTGCCCTGGGGCTTCTATACAAGGCTCACGGGTGTCCGAAGGAAAACCTGCGTGTGCGGGCATATTCCAGCCGAGTTCTTCGATTTGGCAGCATCGCCCCTCCCTCACTATCCCGAGAGCGGCTCTGGAGAGGCCCTTTTGAGAAAGGTTTCCAGCCCGCAGCCTTTCTTCTACCCCAGACTTGCTGTGTGACTTTGGACAAGTCGTATCCTGCCTCTGGGCCTCGGGTTCTGCACCTGTGAAATGGAGAAAGCATAGCTTCGGGACCCTTTTAGCGCTAAGATTCTAGAGAACCTGGGTTTGTAGGCCTGAGCTCAACAAGAGAGGCTGAGGGTGGGGGTGTCACTGGCTGCATCCCTCAGGGCGTCCCACACTCCGGCCTCTCCAGTAGGTGTGCAAGCCGCCATGCTGAGTCTGAGCCGAGGATCTGAATTCTGGTCATTTCCGACCCACTGGGCGCTATCAGTGAAGCCAGTGCGGGAACTCTATTCCATCCCTGTCCCTCTGTGCTATTGCGATCTTCCTGCTCCAAGGCCTGGGGTGAAAGGGGAAGATCCGGACAGGCGGGGTTCCAGACAAAGAAGAGATAACGCCGCCACTCCACCCCAGCGCGCACTGCAGCCTCCTGGGTCCCCAGAGGCCCGCCTGGGGCCGTTTTCCGCAGCTGTGCCCTGGTGGGGGGTGGGGACGGGTGTCAGCGCCGGAAACTTGTCTACTGGTCAGGGACAGCTGGGTGTGGAACAAGGACAGAAGGTGGGCCCAAGGGTCGACCCAGTGCGGGAGTTTGAGAAGTAGAGCATGAGTAGATAGAAGGCAGAGGAAGGCAAACCGAGGCAGAGAATAAAACAAGAGGATAACCCAGGAATACTCCCATGATCACCCTGTACTCTATCTTCCTTACAAGTCCAGTCCTGGAGCAGGCATCTCAAAGCCCTTGTTTTGGTGGATTTATGTTTAATATTAGCGGAACATCACTCCTGAAATACAAAGTGAGTCTTCAGACCACTTCCCTGAGTTGCTGGGGGCAAGGGAATCCTCAGTGTATTTCTTGTGCCAGGGCCCAGATGACTCACAAAACTAACTATAGCTTCCTGGGTGAAGAATGAC